CTCACCCCAACCCTAAACCCTAACCCTCTCCCTCTACCCTGTCATCGTGCCCCCTAACATCTATGTGTCCCTGATTCCTATACTTAGTAAAAAAGAATGAAAAAATAATAAGTTTGGGGGGGGGGGGGGGGGTGGGTAGGCAGGGCTGATTTGCATACGCAATGAGGTCTGGCCAAGAAAAGGATACTAGCTGGGAGTAAAAAAAAGTAAATAATTCATTATTTTTATTATTATTTATTTATTTTTACTCCCAGCTAGTATACTTAAGAAAAGAAAGTAGAGCAAGGAAGAAGAAGAAGAAGAAGAAGAAGAGCAAAGAAGAGGATGAAGAAGTAGAGCAAAGAATACAGACAGCCCCAGATAAAAATAGGAAGACAGGAGAACTCAGGCTTCTTATTTTTACAAGGGTAAGGATAAACTTAAGGGAAAAGGGGTAAATTTAGGGATAAAAGAGAAGGGTAAAAGGGTAAAATTAAAAGGGCAAGGAGAAAATAAAAGTAGTTAATAGAGGAAAGCGTGTACTTCATGAAAAACACCATCACCACCAGAACTATCTTTATTTGAAATGAGTGACCATGAAACCACCTTTATTTCAGAAAACCACCTCTATTTCAAAAAACACAGAGACTCGAACTACGACATCTTCATTGCTCAAAAAAATTTGCAACGGTGCCTTTTAGCGAACTGTTGGAGAACACAAACCTGTTTTTCATCCCAAGAGTAAACGCAGAATGTGTGACCGTACCGTTCCTCATACTCGGCACCTGCAAAAAAACAGAGACCAGATCAGTTATGGCCTACAATAAAAGTGAAGACAGAGCAGAATATGCTCACACGCTGCATTAGTGCAGATATATCGCAACACCCACCTCCACGATCGCGCTGCGCCTGCTCACCGTCATGCTATATAGCCTTCTGCAGTAACAGGCAAACACCACCCAGTTTTCGGAGAGTGCCCGGTAACTGTGTTACCGAGTGGCCTGAAAAACCTCCCCTGCCTAGAAAACCCCAGTCCTGGGATCATACTCGGTGCAAACTTTGGCGACGATCGTTGCCTCACAGAGCAGCCAGGACCGAGGAAAAAAAAAAAAAACCCAGCCGGGGGAGGGGAAAAAAAAAAAAACAAGAATTTTTTCTTTTAATTAAGATTTTCTAAATGCTGGCTACAACCTGGAAAAGAAATCAAGCTATCAGGCATACAAGGTTAACAACATTTCAGCAAAACAACCAGCATCATCCACCCACACAATGGCCCTGGCACCAGCACACACACTAGATATCCTTCTACTGGAATGGGCAAATGCCACCACGTGTTCAGAGAGCACCCAGTAACAGGGTTACTGAGCACCACCAAAAATCGCCCTTCGAAAAAACCCTGGCCCCGGGACCAAACTCCAGGCAAAGTTTGGCAACGATCATCGCCAGGAGCGAGGGGGGAAAACAGACAAACAAACAGCCGGGGGTAGGGGGGGGGTGAGACCCACCACACACACAAACCTCAGCTAGGATTTTTTTTTTTAATTATAACATTTCCAAATGCTAGCTACAACCTAGGAAAAAAAGTCATTATGCATGCAAGATTAGAAACAAGAATTACTAAAACCAGCCAACACACCACTGGCCACTCAAGTCATTCATCACTCTAACAACTAAAACTGCCAACTTGCTAATTCTCAAAGTAAAACAGTCCATAGGTACAATCAGAAACACCCCAAAAAAGCAACTACTAAGTTCTTCTATACTGCTAATTACTCATTACACACCCACCAACACACCCACACATCAACAGAAAGCCCTAATCTACCACAACACAGACACACAGATGCTCATGACAAGCCCTAGGACATGCAAATACCACTGCCTATAGCAAAAAGAGGTCAGCTAAGGGCAAAACCCTGAGGCAAAAGATGCAAGGAATAAGGAGCCAGGGGCTTGACGCAAAACCAATAAAGATGATGTCAAAAAAAGGGCGCAAGGTGGAGCGGGGCGGCGCAAGCCCACAAGGTAAACCCACAGATAACATTCTCTTAGCAACTGCTCTCAAGCTCATCTTCTCATTAGGGCAGGACCCCTTGTCCACCCATCTCTTGAGAACCTGCCAACCCTTCTCTCCATCTGAAAAACAAACCCACCACCTGCCTGACCTCTCCCTGCACCTCAAAAATAAAAATCAATACATCAGGCAGAAGACACAGGCTGACTAATCACCACTCTTGACTATTGCTGCCACATTCTGCTTCTTCCTACTTGCCATAGTGCTAGACACATATCAAAACCCAAAGAAAAGGAGCAACCTCAAGACCTGAGCAAAACAGCACAGAGCTACAACACACACCACAGAAAAGCACTGGAACTGCCTGCCCCAGCAAACCTAGACTCTCCTGTGCAACACTCAAAGCATCACCCTCACACACAGCTCATCCAAAAGAGGCAACCATACTAAATGGCCTGGCAGTCCACACACTTTAGACAGCCCAACACCTTCTGTCCCTTCACTTAGCTTTCAGAGGGCTCTGGGTCATCCTCAACAGGCAGACGCTACTTCTTTGCTCTTCTTATTTCAGACACCCCATTCCCCTCCATCAGCTACCAAACTGCAGCACAGTTGGTCACCCTTGTAACAGTCAGCTCCCGCCTCACCCACACCTGCTCAGCGGGGACGGTGGGCACGTGGGGGAGCCCCTGGCTGTGGGGACACGTGGGGACACGTGTGCACAGGCACTCCCGCACGGGGACCCGTGTGCACACACAGCCCAGCACATGGCTGAGGCATGCATCTCGTGCACACACATGCACAGTGCAGATGTGCACACCCTCGCACATGCACCTTTGCACATGTGTGCCCTCATCCAGGTCTGCTCTTGCCCCCTCGCACACAGGTACCCACCCTGCAGCCCCCCCAGCCCCTGCAGAGCCTCCCCTGCCCCATCCATGGGCAGACCCACACACGCACACATGGATACACACACATGCACATGGACAAATGTGCATGGGCACACCCATGCACACACACAGACACATGTGTGCACAGACAGATGTGCACACACACGTGCACACATACAGACACGCACACAGATGTGCAGACACATGTGCACACACAGAGATGCATACAGACACACATGCATGGACACACATGTGCACACAGACAGATGTGCACACACACGGGCACACACAGGGCCCCCCTCGCAGCAGCTGCCTCACTCACCCTGGCTCCCATCCCTGCAGCACTCCCTGGGCCACGCACAGGCCTGGCCGGGCGCCCCCGCACAAGGGGCTCCTTCCCGTGTGGCTCTCGCGGCCCCTCGGTCATCCCACTGCTGCAGGACATGGAGCTGGCGCCACCAGCTGCAGGGCCCTGTGTCCCTGTGCAGGGAGGAACGTGGGTGGAGCTGGTGCCATATCGCCCCGCACACTGGCCTCGTGCCCCGAGGTGCAAAAAAAACAGCCCCAGGCTGGAGCCCCCATCCTGCCGGGGGAAGCAGCCAGAACCTGTTGAACCACCGAGCGCCCCTCGGCCTGGGAGGGGAGGGAGGTTTCACTAAAAACCAGCCACATTCAGGGCCTGTGGCCTCCCCCCGGGGTCGAGAGCTTCTCTGCTTTGGAGCAAGGCCCAGCCCGGAGCACCCTTGGGTGCCCCCAAGCCCTGGAAAGCACCAAGGTGCTCCCTGAGTCACTGCACTTCAAGCATGAGGCTGCTGCAAAGGAGGCAGTTGAATAAAAGCAGTTAAAGGAGGAAACGAGGCCTGGGTGGTTTTTCTTTACTAATATTAGTATGGTACAGCCTTCAAAACACACTACTAGACTACAGTGCAGAGAAGAGCCCCGTAAAGCCTCAGGTAAGAGTTAAAAGCAAAGGAGATGGCACGAGGCAGGGGGTTTTATTCTACCCGCGCATTGTGGTGTGCAAAGTTAAAAGCGAGGCTGCAGATCCGGGTCCGCTTCACTTCAGCACCGGCGAGGCAAAGAAAGGGCCTTGGCGGGCGAGGGGGGTGGCGGAGCTGCTTTTGCTCCCAAATCTAGTGCAAAAGAAGCAGAATTAGGGTTAGAGGGGGAAGAGGGAGGCGTGGTTCCTGGTGCAGCTATTCTGCTCCCATTTGGCTCTCCAGGGCCTGCGTCCTCCCTCCCGCCGTCGGGAGACAGCAGGGGAACAGGAGCGATTCTCGTGGGAGCCAGGCTGCGGAGCGAGCCACCTACCTAGGGGTGGTTCTGCCGAAGGTCGAGCGGACCCTCTGGGACAGGGAGCTGGACGAGGGCGTCTTGGAGAGCTGCTGCTCGGGGGTGGTGAGGGGCCCCAGGATGCTCACTGCAGAGAGGCAGAGAGTGAGCGCAGCCGTGCGGAGCCAGCGGCCTTTCCCCAGGCAGGGGACTCCTCGGTTCTCTGCTCCCGGGAAGGGCTAATTCCCCCTTCCCAAGCACCGCTCGCTACAGACCATTAGTTTTATGACAGCCCCTGGGCAGTCAGGGGAGCAGCGCGCAGCTGTTACCTTTGAAATCGGGCGTCTGGGGAGCGGAGAAGGCAGCCGTGTTCTCGATGACGTTCTCCTGCTCCGCCACCATGAACTGGCTCCAGTACTCCAGGGGCAGCAGCAGCAGCCGCTCCACCACCTGCAGCGGGAGCCGCCCCGTCAGGGCTCGGCCCTGCAGCAGGGACTGGGGACACTCGTCCTGGGCCATGCTCTGCCCCCCTACCTTGGGCTGCCGCTTCGTGTCCTGCAGGATCGTCAGCGGGTCGGGGTCAGGCACCGCATGGGCGACGATTGTGGGGCCAAACACTTTGGCCAAGTTGGCCACATCCATTTTGGTCTCGGGGCTCTGGGCCACTCTACATGAGGGGCACAAGGTTGGTGCTCTTCACTCTTACACCAAGGCACCCCGGCCTGCCCAGTTCAGCCTCTGACCAGGCAGACGTGGCCAGCACGGAGGCTTTTGGATCAGAACTGGCAACTGCTGCCTCTCAGAGGAGGCACCGGTGGCCACTCACCTCTGCAGATGGATCATGAGGAAAGCAAGGGTGTCCCTGTTGGCCTGAGGGAGCTCCCCGATCGCTTGGTACATAGCAGCGATGCTGTTGTCATCATCGGAGATTTCTGAAAGAAAAGGCAGAGTAGACCTCAAAGCAGCTGCAGAGGCACAACTGGAGCAGTCCCCTCCACTGGCCTGAGGAGCGAGGAACGTGGTGGTCCAGCAC